TTGCTCCTCCTGAAATGCCTGTAGCCCATGAATGTCAATAGGCACTGATTGCCAATGACCTGAAAGATGCTTTGCCACCTCATTTTATTCCACCCCTTGTTTCAAGTTCGGAGTGGCTCCTGTTAGCTTCTGCCTCACTCCTGCACTTGCTGTGTCAGCTCTTGCACTCAGGAAGCCAAAATAATTTCTGCTTCTGAGAGTCTTCACTGTTAATCACAGCCAGGCTCTGTAAAAGCACCTTCATTGCAGTAAGATGGTCAGAAAAAAGGAGTTAATGTGCTTGGTAACCCTTTTTCTTTCCTTTTTTTACTTTTTCACTTTATTTTGCCTTTTCTTATTCAGTTCCCCCAAAATTAAATTAAAACCCCTAAGAGGAAGGTAATAAATTACTCTCTGCATCAGCTGGCAACAAGCCATGAAATAACAGCAATGAAAGTTTAGGCTAGACCAGAGAAAACTTTCTAACAGAGAGCATAGCGAGGCAGTGGAGTCCACTGCAGGGGGAGAAAGCCACCATGAAGGGTGGGTTTGGAAGAGGCAACTCCATCTTCAGTAAAAGGGCTTGGGCCAGATCACCACTGTCCCTCCCACATGTGGTCTGGGGACCACTGATGGCCACCAGAACTGCAGTAAGGTAGGAAACAGTTAAAAACCAAACCAAACCCAAAGCACATTCGCACACAAAGGAGAAAACTGGCGAATGTAGTAAATGTAGTAACGGTGTTGATGTGATAGCGGCTGGGATGGTTTGGGGGACCGGGAAGGCAAGGGGAAAGGGAAGGTATAATACATGTCTGGGTAATTTTAGGCAGGTATCAGAAGAGGACTGCCTGATTTTCTTTTCCACCACCTTTATCAGTCAGCTAATATAAGCTATTTCCTCTCCTTATCCTTCTCGCCTCATTAATTAAGACATAAACACTCAAACTGTAGCCTGATTTTTCCTAGACTTCCAATAAAATTGCAACAACACAACAATATCATTAAAACGTACATTCATCACACAATCTTCACAAACTTCACATACATCAACAAAAAAAAAGAATTCCCCACACCAAAGTCCAAATAAGATAACCACAACACTGACAAAGGTGGACAATTTACGCACACTCCACCTTTTGTCCCTTAACCACAATTAAAAGAAAAAATTCCCCACAATTTTAATGCTCTCTGGCAATGTCCAGTCCGTATTTTACCCATTACCTCTCCCAATTACTGTCCTTATCTGGAATTTCTCAAAAGCCCCATGTTGGGCACTGCAAAGGACAGGTTTGAATCATCTCTTGCAATCACTTCTAGCCCATTTTTAATATGCTTGAAGACTGGGGCTCAGCTGGACATAGGAGACAGCAGAGCTAATTGACCTCCAGCTGGATATGGCCTCACAAGGACAGGCAGCAAAGACCCACCCCATCTTCCCAGAGGACTGTTGAATCACCTGCCCACAGCAAGGCAAGCCTGTCTTTACAATCACTTAAATATCATTTCAGCACTCTTCTGCATTGAATGTGAGCAGGCTCCATCCCTCCCGGCTCTGGACCCAGGAGATGCTGCAGGCAGCTGCACCACAGCTTTGCAGAGCAAGGGTGCACCCAGGGCATGACTCTCCTTGGTGTGCCTTGTAAAAACCTGCAGTACCTGCAAATGGTAATCAAAATCCTTTAAGCTGTGGTCTTTTGCAAAGAAAAATTGTCTTCCTTTTTCAAGACTCAGGCATAACACGTAATTACAGCGTGACAAACACTGTTCATCAGGTGTATGTGTCTTTATTTAAAAACCCTGTTCGCATCACTGCGGGGCACTACCCAAGTCCTAGGATAAACCCTGCCCCAAAAGGGTAAAATAGAGGGAGGAAAGAGATGTAAATGTCAAGAGGGGAAGGAGCTGTACCTCCTTCCAGCTCAAGCCCAACAGATTGGCAAGGTCCCAGGCACTCACAGATCTCCGTGTGTGTTTACTTCAAGCCCTTCAGTTCCTCCATGCAGACCCACCCAAACACTTTCATTTGGGTTTAAATGCGTTAGTATAAACCTGTTCCTCATTAGTTTAAATCAACCGCAATAGCCCTGGTTTAGACTGAAACAAGGAGACAGATGGAAAGCAATGAGGTAACTGGATCTTAATGAGTTGATGTTCATTAGCTGAGCTGTGGTGACGGCACAGGACGTGCTCTCTCCTTGCCCTGGTTGGGAGGGGAAAGGCATCAGTGCAACCTCAAGGGTTTTGTACATGTTTGGAGCAGGTTCATCAGTCCTGAGCAGCACACGAGGTGGAAGCCCCAGCCTTTCCCCCACCAAAAGGTGCAGCTTCAGCTCAGCTATCCCATTCCTGTGTCCCATTCAAACCCTGCGGTCCAAGCCAGCTCCAGCCTCTCAGCAACGTGGGCAAGCTGGTTTCAGAGAGGTCAGGAAAGGAGGAGAGCTCACCTAGGGAGGGCAAGATGCAGAGCAGATGCAATCTTCACCCTAATGACATTAGCTATCATGTCATTTGGGGAAAACCTTTCTTTTCTGACCAAAAAGGTGGTTAAAATCCTGCTGTACATGAGAAGTTCAGTCTAGCCTTAACTTTGGAGAAAGGCACATGTTTTCTTTATCTCTGTATGTCACTGGATAGATTAGATGAGATATATTTATCTAGACAGCAATCTGTGTAGCTGCAAAGATACAGCCACAAAATTCCATGGGCTGAGATCATCCCATGCTGAGTTTAGCATCCCAGTAAGAATGATACTTCATTTTGGTGGTTGACATGTTTTATTCAAAACATAAGGAAAATGAGTAATTTGACCTCAAGTGTTGGCTGTTTGGGCTTTTTTTTTAAATTCATATTAAAAAAATAAACTTTTTGGGGGTGTTCTTTTTTAAGCAAAACCATCCTTTTGAACAATTTCTTTGTACAGTATTTGTTCTTGTTTGCTTGTGTTTTCCCGTTGCTCTACTTTGCTTGTTCCCAGACGGGTCAAAAACCCTAGGAAGGAGGGTGAAATCTTAAGGAAGAGAAACGTGCGTGAAAGAAATAAGGAAGATCATAAATGTGTCATTTCCTGCAATGATTGTCAAGGAAAATAAGGGAATAAATATACTATTATATTTTTTTGTCCACTTTCATATCCAGTGAATCAACAGATCTCCCATGCTCTGACAGAGCAGCAGTTAAATCACCTCACTGCCCACTTGGACTGCCATTTAAAGTCATTTTTTTAAGACGGAAAGGTTGAAAAATCATAGATAAACACACTCCAAGGAAATATTTCCTGTGTACAGTAGAAAGGAGCTGAAGGAGAGCCCCTGTTCAACACTGGGGTCAGTCCCCATCGCAATGTATGGAGGCAGGACAGTAGGGTCACTGGGAGGAAACCAGTGTAAACAGGATCTGCTTTTATCAGTGGGAAAAAAACCCAACCTTGTTTAAATTAACCAGAAATATGCGCCTATATGTTTTAATCACAAGCTGCTGTTTCCAAGTTTTGCGGTGGGGTTAAGCCACAGATGAGGAGCTGCCGATCACACGCTGTCCCTGAACGCAAGACGCTGATTGTCCCTTCTGCTTTTGGAAGGAACTAGCGAGGGGCAGCCCATGCTTGCAGCCCGAGCAGGGTGCCTGGGCTAGAGTGGCAGGATGGGAGGACAGAAAGGAGCCCTGCCAAGTCTTGCAGGGCAACCTCGTGAGGGGATGCTGGAGCTGGGGATGACCTGCCTGCCTTGCAGAGCATCTCGCCTAGTGGGATCATGGGGATGGGGGTGCAGAACCCACCAGCCTTGCAGAGTATCCCTCCCAGTGGGATCATGGGGCTGGGGGTGCAGAACCCACCAGCCCTGCAGAGTATCCCTCCCGGTGGGATGCTGGGGCTGGGGGTGACCTGCCAGCCTTGCAGAGCATCCTCCCGGCGGGGTGCTGGGGCCGGGGCCCAGGGCCCGGGAGCTCAGCAGCGCGGAGGTGCAGCCCCCCCCCAGCGCAGCGCCAGCCCCCGGGGGTGG